ACATAGTGGCCCTTCCTCACCTGGCGAGGCCAGACATGTATTTGAACATACAATGCAATCGCGATGATCATGAGCATCAGTGTGAGGCAGCCATGTGTTCTAAGCCCGAGATCTTTTCATTCGGGTGATTGAACACCTAGGGCGGCTGATGTCCACAGAAATATTGCATACATTATACATAATTATAAGATCCCCTAAGGCTCCGTGTACCCTTATAGTACATACTTAGGCCTTAAAGTACCTATATAGGGACCCCTTTAATTATATAAGTATGTACTATAAAGGTACATGGAGCGTTTGGATAATAGGTTTTTACAAATATTACCGGTACGTATAGCAGTACGCACACGTACATACTATACGTACAAATGTGTGTTGCATCACACAACAGGAAAACGACGTCGTCGACACATAACATGTCTGCGGCGCTATAGCTGGTAATAGCTAAAATTTAAAGCTAAAGTAGAAGCCATAAAGTTGGAACATCATTCTTCTCATGCCCTAAATTATAGGTAAATCATAGGTGATCCTAGCACGAATCCTCCTATAGCCATGTTCCAACTTTCTGGCTTCTACTATATAGCAGACGGAAATAATAATATAGCTCGCTCATGAACGATGGGTTTCGCTTCGATTCTGAAGATTTGCGAAGTACACAAGTGAACCCTGGCCAGTGGCCAGCACACGTACAAGCGGCCGCCCTCAGCCCTCAGCCTTTTCGCACCTGCCGCCGAGTCGCAGCTTTTAGTGCTTCAGCTCGAATTTTGAGCAGATCAGCAACCCAGCCAAGCTAGCCCAGAACTTTTACAAATCTAGGGATTTGCCTGGTCCAGGAACCCCATTAATTATAAATTCCCTCAACACTGCACGGAAGGCCAGCTAGCACGAGCTAGGATCTCCTGCTTTAATTAAGCATCCTCGATGCTCTGATCACGGCTCGGCCGGTGACGTGTCCATCGTGGTCTGCAGCCTTGGCTATAATGAATTAGAGTTGGGGGACTTCCAGATGGCCATAGCTAGCCAGAAAGTGGGATAAGATAGCGCCTCTTTTCAGCAATAGCGACGATCAAACTCTATATAGGCCCTATTGACGATAATATGTTTTGCACTTCGGGATGTACCGATGATAAATAGGTCTTTCGACGATAAAGTCTTGATCAGGTTTTAGTGGGATTTCAATCATGACCCATGCACACTCCTCTTTGATCCCTTGCCTATCCCGATCGATCCCAACAATAATTAATTGTAACACCCGCCCCCCTTGACTATCCCTAGATCCCTAGACCCCCCAACCCTAAAGCCAACCGATCCCCAAGATTAGCTTTAGCTGATCTATCCGCTGTGATGGTTGATGTCTTTATAATCATATTTATATTCGTCTAGCTATAAACTAGAAAATCTGTTTATTGGAATCTACCAGGCTATCTATGTGTACTGGTGTGACCAGTCGGCCGCGGGTAATGCAGGATTCTCATGCGATCGTGATGCTACCACTTTATTCTGCAGTCTTGTGGGCTTGGGGTTGGAATCATGGTCAAGTTCTGTCTACAAGAGCATCGGGCTTCGGGGTTGAGACAGTGCGATCTCTAGTTGTAAGGTGTGTGTGTGTGTGTGTGTGTTTCATCTAGTCCCCTATAAAGTGTAAAGTGCACTACAACTAGTACTTACGGGGTTTGGTTTGGGATCAAGTCCTGTACTACAAGCAAAGAGTTTCGGGCATCGGTTTCGAGATATGCTTTTTTTTTGAAACGGCATCAGTATTTGTAATATTACAGTTCATCGCAGTATTAGGCCAAGCCGCCATACATAGAACCTGCTGAGGGTACTCCGCTCCAGCGAACGAGCATGCACACGCTCTGCGATGCCTCGCATCCACATTGCACGGATCATGTTTGTTATAGTGCACACTTCCAAAATTAGAGAAGTGCGAAGGTGTACACAAACGGTCGGGTATGGGCCCGCACAACTGAAATGCAGTCTAGGCGCTGATGATGTGACCATTGCAGTCTTCGGCAGCGAATGTATGGTACATTCTGTAGTTGTACCCTGCGGGGATCCGAGAATATGCGAGGTATAATATTCTAATTTAGCCTGCCCCCCTAATAGTATTAATTATATGATTAGCCCAAAAGTATATTCTGTGATGTGTCGCCAAGGATCTTTCCCTCGAGGAAAAGGATATCATCTCCATCGTGCCCTCGGTAGATCCCGGGCTAGGTGTATACATATACGGCGGCTACCCTCACTCTTATACTTATGGCCACTTTAAATTTCGTACCCCACGAGTGGCACGAGTGCCAACACACCGGAAACAAACCCGAAGCCCCATACTATGCCCTATAAATACACAAAAAAAGCCTTTGTAATCTCACTACTGCCCGACACAAAAGATACTAGCTAAGCCAAGGTTCGTGCAGCTTCGGTCGCACCGGGCAAAACGTCTTCGAAGTCCCCCGGCTTTGGTAATCTGCAGCTAGCAGTCCGTAGGCATTCATCGCGGCATCCTGGGCTATTCCGTTCGTGCCTGTGTTAATGTTTTCGGTGTAGGGTTACACTCTCCGGTTTAGGGTGTGAGGGGATCAGTTTGGGCTTTGGGTTTCAAAGGGTGTTCGGATTTCGGGTCTGCGTTTTATCGATGTATTGGTTTAGAGTCTTTCATCTGGTTTATGGTTTCAGCTTGGGCTTGGTGGTCGAAAAGGACGTTCGGGTCTAGTTTGTTACCGGCACCCTGTTTTCGTTGGTTCGTATCTTTCCTTTGCTAGTTTAGTGTTGAATTTGAATGTAAAGTCCCTAAATCCCAGACTCGCTCCAAAGTCACCCCAAGTAGAATCCCTGAAAGCCCCGCGATGCTAACCCCTAAACACCTAAAAAGCCCCAACCTGTTCACCCATGCCTTACTCGAGCCTGAAATGCTGAAGCTTCAACCCCCACCCCTGAAGCCCTACTAAGTACATATTATATCATATACTTATATATTGTTACTTCGAACCCTGAGTCTAGCCCTGAATGCTAATACACCCGGATCACCAATGGTTTGATTTATTATCATAGGCATTTCTCAGAACGGAACACCTTTGTTTGCTAGTTGGATTGTCTACTGCTGAACCACGACAGCACACATAAAGAGAATAGTTATACCCGTCGTCAAGCTGCACAACTGCTTCGCATCCGCCTTGCCTGCTGATCTGTAAGATATCGCGGCGATGTTTCCGAACAGTTGCAGATATCCGCGAGGTAGTACCTCGAAGGGTATATACCGTACATCGTATGGATTTAGTATGCCCCACTGCTTATTAAGCAAAATCAATAACAGACCAGCAGCAAGCACTGGGCCATTCGTCGGATGGTCCTGTCATTCGCGAACTCATCCTTCTCCAGCAGGGTCACCAGCACGTGTGCCAGCCAACTCGTGATGCATCGTGCCTTCGCTACTCGGGTTTAAATTCGGAGCGACGTATATTATAACAGGGCTTCTTGATTTCTAGTCCGCAGGCCACTAAATGATTGTAGCCGTTAGCTATATGACAAACCCGAGACATATCTCCGAACTAGGGTTTAAGGGGGGGTAAAAGGTATATTAGGGGTTTAGGGGTAGCTATAGCATGCGGTTGTTTACCACATAGACGGGCGGTACTTGAAATAATTATCTTGTGATACCGATTTGGTTCGAAGTGTTTGGTTGGATCTTCGCTTTTTCACGAAAGTTTCAGCGCTTCGGGTGTGGACAGATTTCATATGGTAGAGGACTCGTAATGAAGCTCATAGCTAGCTGGTTTAGGGATATAATAATATCATAGGCTAGGGAATCTGGCAAGCGACGTTGTAGGCTTTCACACCTAGCTCCGGTGCATTGTTCTTCACTCGAAAGATCTTGGGGCAGAATCGCGGTTGGCTATGCCTCGGCTTGAGCTTTAAAGGCTCCATACTACTGTTGATGGACAAAATCCTGCATCACCCATGATAAGGAATATACCATAATTCCCATAGTTTAGACTTAAGGTCATGCAGGATTTTGTCCATCAACAGTAGTTATGCCTACATTTTGGGCTTCACAGACATAATTTAGGCAATTACAAATGCAAACCTCAGCTATAACATACCTCTACGGACTGTAACCCTTATTATAAAAGCAGTGGTCTACAGGGATTATAAGCATAGGTTGTGGTCTATAGGCATATCGAAAATAAAATATGCCCAACATAATATTTAAGCATACGTACACAATGCCACGTTCACGACAGAATGTCGAGAAATCCACAAAGGCGCCGTGCAGCTGCTCCTTCAGCAATCCCGTGCCCCAGATGCCCTGCATCCAGGCGGCAGTTGAGTGGTCGGGTATATATATATATATATAGTATATATGGACTGATGTCTCGGTACTTTAAATATTTATAATATATATATATATATATGTATATATTTATATTTATTTTTTATTATTTATTTAAAGTACCGAGACATCAGTCCATATATAATAACACAATGTATTTTCGTGGGACAACAACACACCGAGATGGCCTTTTCGCAAAGGTGCTGTAAAGCTGCTGCTCCAGCCCAAATCATAGGTCCCAAATTCAAGGTGTGTAAGGAGCACCAGCGAAGCATCAGCACCGACAGCCCGATCAGATGAAGTAGCACACCTCGGAAATCCAAAGCTTTCTCATTAGGCTCAAGTTTGTTATCATAAGTATGCTGTATTGTGTAATTGCATCGACACGTGCTTCGTGCTATCGAGTGACTCTTCTGACCCTGGGGGTCTGGGGAGCAAATTTGCCGTAGCTGGTCCATGGTGGTCCTCCGGGGTCCCGATTCTAGCACGTGGAGTTGGGGGTTCTTGAAGTACGTGCCCTGCTGCTCGCAGCAGTGGTGGCACACCGACCCACAGCTGTAGCCGACTGTCAGCATCATCAGCTCATCCTTAATAGAAATGTAAACTTCCGCCTGCTGCTCGGTATTATAAACTCAAAACAGTACAAGCATGATTACAATAGATATTGCATCTAGGAGACTTTGTAGAATTTCCAGTCTCCCCGGATTTCTGTCACAGCTGCTACAAGCGGGAGGCCGTCCGTGGCATCCATCAAAGGCTCTTCAGACAGGTCCGAGCGATCAACTGGGCCGAAGGATCCGCAATTGCCCTGGCGATCGATGATCGGGAACCGTGGGTGGAAGCCATAAAACAGGTAGTTCAACGAAGCCACAACCTCGGGAGGGGATCACATGACCCTGCCAATCCCAGCTCGGTCTACATCACCGAAACATAACCATGAAACCAAATGATGCTGCTTGCAGCAGCACCAGGGACTGGCTTCAAAAACGCCTGCAAAGTTTCGAAGCCCGCGGAAAGCGAACAGCGAATGATGAAGAGAGGCAAATGCACACACATTGAGTTCTTTCTCGCATCGAGGCAGAAACCACAATACACCACCGTTAATTTCTCTTGCTGACTGAACTGAGCATCATCCCCATAGAGGAAAAGTGGGTGGTGCCGGTTGGAGCCCGGGTGGTCCCGACCCCATTCGGAGTGCTCCCTCATGTGACTCCAGTAGGCAGCAGTCTCGGTCGTGAGCTGCTGCAGGTCAAGGTGTCGGTGTGCTAGGACATGTGGAATAACCTCGTGCGGCAATACTACCGGGAGTTTCCTCGGATGGCTGTTGCCACGGATTCCGAATATAGTACCCAATACATTATACTATGATAGCTTCTTATAAATTATACAACATACCAATGCCAATTAATATTCTTTCTCACGGTATATAGCTGGTGCTATGTGGACATCCTGGTGCAAGCGAGTTGCTTTTCCACTCTCTGTCTGTCCACCATGCTTTTGAGCATGGGAACCTTCACCCATCGTAGCGGCACCTTGGATCGTAGCGCTAGCACCCTGCACCCGCATCATTCAATCATTAGCTCATTAGTCCTACGACCAGTTCCTTACACTCCCATGTTTAAACCCTAAATACATATATATATATATATATATATATATATATATATATATTTAGGGTTTAAACATGGGAGTGTAAGGAACTGGTCGTATACATATATGTGTGCAACCATTATAATTATAAATGTCCCGATACATATAATAATACCCCTCCACACCTCGGGAACCCGTAACCCTAGCCCAGGATACCTAAACGAAACCCGAGCAGGTACCCCGGATATTTTCTTTGTCCACTCAAACCCCGAGCCCCTGGCCTATGTTTTTGATCAGCGACGAATCCGAGGCCTGAAGCCCTAAAAGACCCAAGCCTATGCAAATAAAAGACTAGTGTGCGTAATTTAGCATGCATGCGATATACAGATCTGAACCTAGCCAGGAAACCAAGTCCAGGACCCCATTCAGGGCCCTCATGCAGTCTCGTTCTACATTCTGTCTGTGGTTGCCGCCTGCTCCTGCCTGGCGGATTCGCTCCGCTTGCACTCCCAGCTTCTGCCCATGCATACTGAGTTCCTGGACATCCACGGTGTGCACATCACGTGGTATGCGCACATACACATGTGCATCCGATGATCAACATGCTGTGTCCTCGTGCGATCGTTGGAGCATCTCGCGGGCAGCGGCGAAGCTAAGGTCCTGAATGCAGCTATGCCATGCGAAGATACTCTGTGTGAAGGCTGGACAGGGAACATCACAGGTGTAGCTAGTGTTGTCAGCAGAGGGTGTTTCTTTTGGGGTTTTCAGTTGGGGATTATAGGGTTTGGCAGTTTAGGGTTTATGGAGTTTATAAGTGGGGTTTTAGATTAGAATGGGTATGTAAGTTGTCGCAGTCGTATACCATTATGTGTGATCCATGAAGGACTACAACTAGAATTACTTTGCATTAGCGATGCTTGTAGTTATGAAGTTTGGTTTGAGATTTGGATCGCTGCATACGAGCTTCTCCTTTGCCGGTGCACTGAAGAACATGGCGGGCCATTGGCCCCAGCTCATCGATACGACCTGCGGGGGAAGTGCCATCTAGAACTATCTGGTTATGTAATTGCATGCGATTTTGCACCGACCAGCAGCAAACTGCATGTGATGCATTCTGAAGCGGGCCCATTCCAGCAATCGAAAAGGGCTGTTCCAAAAAGCTTGCTCCATAGAGCAATCCATCACGACCATGCCCATGGATGCCGTCATCCGATCACGTATTCTAAAGTAGGGGGTCTTGCTTTATTAGAGCTCTAGCGCCCAAGACTGTACAAGCTTAAGTACTGCACATGTATGGTCTCGGCAACCACATGACACGATCACGATCGCCAGGCGGCTGCTGCGATCTCGATCACTTCTTCTTACTGCTGCCCTTTGCTTTGGCTTTCCCCTTCGCCTTCGGTTTTGGTGCAGCCTCGGATGCAGGATGAGGGGTCTGGTATTATATTATTGTATAACGGCTTAAAGCTCTTCTGGGATATGCGAGGATCTTTTGGGGTGTATCTAGAGTACTAGTCAACAGTCGATTCCTGATTGGGGGTGTGTTCCAATCTTGAAGGCTCTCGACAGCTTTGGCTATTATAATGAGAGGCATGGGGAGATTGAGGGATCAGGGCTTTGATAAGGATCTGGTTTCAAGGTACATTGTGATTCCATTAGCCCCGGGTGAGAGTAGTCGCTCAAGCTTAGCGCTTCGCTCGACCCTAAATTGACCCCTTCCGCCCTTAAAAAAAATAGCCCACCCTAGTACTACGGTCAGTAGCTGATCCCCGGGCAGATCCTAGCAATTCCCTTCGCCATAAACCCTTCAAGCCCTTAATAATAAACCCTTCGACATTCATCTACGGTCATATCTAATTATAATGCTAACATCTCGTCTATAATTACAGCCGAATGTTCCTGCTGAAGACTACCAAAAGACATTTAGTTAATTATCATGGGTTCGAACTTCTGAGCACTTGGGGACTTCATCGTATTAATCTAGCATATGCTACAACACAGACAGCGGCTAGTAGTGTCGTTATTGGACATATGGGATTTGTAATTATGTTGATTCCTCACACATTGGGTTAACCTAGCATCCTGATGCTAAGTCTCTATAACATAGTGATACCAAATGATCTTTGGGATTTCAAGGAACACAGTTTAGCTGACGGCTCCGACATGCGACCGTGCGAGTAAGTATCCTGGGCTGGGTCTGTGCGAAAACGATAGCTAAGAAACAATCAGCTTCCGGATTCCGCCCGAAGCCTGCATGTAATCGCTGATGCCCTGGCCCAACTCATCAAGGTGATCCTGGAGCTTCGATCCGTCGCCTTCGTCCAGCTCGTGCTGCAACGTCTTAATCTTCAGCTCCAGGCCTTCCACATGAGCCTTGAGCTCGACGGTGTAGGCATCTTTCACGGCAGCTGGCCTCGGTACGGTTATGTCGATAGTCGATGAGAGTGCAAAAACCGACAGGGGATGATGCAGCATTAGGGTTAAGGTTGGCACAAGGCTTTTAGGGGTAGTGTTGTGATCTTCTAGATGAGCCGTGGCACATCTGCTCATACTCTTTCATCTCCTCCATCAAGACATCCATGTCAGCGATCTTTTCGTTCCCCGTCTTGATTTTGTTCTCGCACTTGTTCACAAGAGCCTTAGGCTTCTTCACGATCGGCAGCTGCGTGCTGCCCAAAGATGCACCCAACTCCTCCTGGCCAGGTAGTGGCGTCGGACACGGCAGTGCCATCATCGGGGCACCTCCAGCCGTGGGCGCCGGTGCTGCTGCTGCTGATCCTGAGCTCGCACTGGCCGCTGCCAAGAGCCCCCGCACCATCTCTGGCCTGACTTCAGGGTTTATTAGGGGTGGCTTTGGATTTATAAATTCGGGAGTAGGAATCTTCTAAGGGAATATTGAAATGTAGGGATGCTCCTGGTTGTTTCGGGCTGGGTTCTAGCTTAATCTTTGTTATACCAGACAGTTAATGTGTGATCGTGCATAGAGCATATACATCGCTCTCACAAATTCGCACTCCTCTTAGGAATATGGAGTTAAGGAGATCAAGTAATCAGTGTACACGGCTGCTTGCAATATAGGCACAACAACACAGCTGCCCCTGCGGCATCCAGATTCATCTCAGAGTTGGTCCCGCTCGCGACCTTGTGCTTGTCCACTTTCTCGATGGCCGCAGAGTCCCACACCCGCAAGAGATCCCAATCCTGCACAGGATTTAATTAAGGCATAGCAGATGGGCAAAGACGATATTCTTTATGTATTTATGAGGTTATATAATAAGTACTGTTTATGTATATTTGAGGGTTCACAGAAATAGTCTTATGAGCCCCCCGGGTAATATCAAGCAACTCAATCACACTCATAATCCCACAGATTAGGGGGTGTACTTGCCTATCTTTTCGGAACCCTCCGCCTTGTTGCCAGGGAGTTCGGGGTGAGGAAGCCAAAAGGGGTCTTCGTCGCTGTCTTTGGGTAGCAGGGCTTGGAGCCTTTTTTTTTCATTATAAATCTCCATGGCTTCCTCCTGACCTTCCTTCTTGATGAGGTCCTTTAGCTTGATGTACACTTCTCGCCCTATCTTCGACTTTGACACAGTCTGTGACGTTTGCATGAATGCCGTTGTCTGTGACCAGTCCCCCCTGCTGGATACCCAATCCGCGAACATGGTCTCGATCGTTCGGCTGCCTTGGTAACCCCGGAGCATAGTTTGGCATGGGGCCCCGCAGCCGAGGAAATCAGCTTATGGGGGAATGGTTCGAATTAGGGGCCTGCACCTGATCATGAGGTTTAGGGTTATGTCATTGTTTTGGATAAGGGGTTGCCCTGGTTAAGGGGGGGTGTGCTTAATAACTAAAAAAACATAGTGTTGACATCGTGCCCCCCAAGGAACCGCGACGGGCATTCGCCACCTTCTCTGCCACCTCCGGCGGGCAGTTCGGACCTTGTTTGAGAAATCTAGAATCACGAAGACAAACAACACAGTTAATAATAAAACTACACGCCAACTTTAATTATGTATGTATACATACATAGGTGTGTTTATAATAACCCAATGATATATTTCATATATATTTATAATAAGTTGTTATCATATACGGTATACATTGTACACAGAACATACATACATACGTACATATATATATATATATATATATATATATATATATATATTATATACATATATATATATATATATATATACACCCGTAAGCACCCACGTCATACATACATCACACGTAGAACAAGCTCTAGTCGCTCTCCTTCTATGCGTCTAGATCCACACACAGATCTACATATGTCCCCACTGTATATATGCATGTGCACGTGAAATTAACTTCGTCGTTCTATCCCAAGATCGAACCCTGGTCTATATGTGCATAAAAACTGTCCCCCACTACTATGGGCGATATCAAGAGATATATAGGGAGAGTTGTTTCTATCTGCGGCTAAAGTTACCCTTCACAGACTTGTTGTAGCGAACATACAGGTTGTGGGCCAACCTGCAGTCCCGATCGTGCTCCGTCTCCCCCGGCTTCAGCGCCATGACTCCCTCCTTCAGGGGGGTGCGATTACAACTAGACCGACACACATAAAAAAAAAAGTACTGTATGTACTCGCCAAAAGAGCTGTCTCCTTGAAGTCAAACCGGTGCAACAGCTGCGGGTTCTCCACAGCAAATCGTACAGCACCTGAAGCAGCGGTGTGCTTGGACTTTGCCGGAGCATCCTGATCAGCCGTCACGATCTGATCGTTGCCACCAGCATGCTTCGGCTGCTCAGCGATCTTCTCCTCGGCATTCTGCTCGGACACCTTGGACGGCACACCATCGGGCTGCTCCGTGATCTTCTCCGCCTTCTGCTCCGAAACGGCGGGCACACCATCAGGCTGCTCGGTGATCATCTCCTCGGCCTTCTGCTCCGAAACGGGGGGCACACCACCATGCTGCTCGGTGATCTTCTCCTCCGCCTTCTGCTCGGACACCATCGAGGGCACACCAGGCTGCTCCGTGATCTTCTCCGCCTTCTGCTCCGAAACGGGGGGCACACCGCCACCAGGCTGCTCAGCGATCTTCTCCGGCTTCTGCTCGGACACCATCGAGGGCACACCAGGCTGCTCCGTGATCTTCTCCGCCTTCTGCTCCGAAACTGGGGGCACTATACCACCAGGCTGCTCAGCGATCTTCTCCGCCTTTTGCTCGGACACCTGGGGCACACCATCAGGCTCTGTGATCTTCTCCGCCTTCTGCTGGGACACCACCGGGGGCACACCAGGCTGCTCAGTGACCTTCTCCTCGGGCTTCTGCTCGACCATGGTCTGGGTGGCCTCCATGGCCGCATCGGGAGCTTCGTCATCGAGCTCCATCAGCGTTGCGAGCTCCGTAGTCTCTGCACTTCCCATCACCACATCCTGATCTGCTGGCAATGTGTGATCCCAGGTGTTTGCAATAAGCCAACAGTATTAGGATCTAGCTAGCTCTTTGCTTAAGAATCCCACCAAATATTCGCCTAGAAAACTAATCAATCATATACAGATAAATTAGGGGGGCGGGGTGATAAATGTAGCTCCTCGGAGCTCATCGGCACGTCTCCCTGCTGGGTCGCCGGATCCTCGTGGAAGAGTGTGTGTTCCACTGCTAAAGATAACTGCTAGTATATGCACATGCACACAAATACATATCTACATACATAGATACATACATCCGGATGCATCCATACATACATACAGTCATGCTCATACGTACATACACACACACACACATCTATATATATATATATATATAACAGAGCTTATGTATAATCTGAAATACAGCCCGTGACCATTCTAGTAGAACATATGATATATACATATATATATACATACATATAGCTATATGCGTATGTATACATATACCGATGTGTGTATAGGCCAATTTTATAAAGCCATTATATGACACACACGCATACAAACCACCACAACGCACACGCACACACACACACACACACACACACACACACACACACACAAATTCCTGCAAATCGGCATATGTGCTATAACTGTATACTATACTTTACTATACTGAACTATACTATACTATACTATACTATACTATACTATACTATACTATACTACTACTACTACTACTACTACTACTACTACTACTGCTACTACTACTACTACAACTACAACTACTACTACTACTACTACTGCTAGTACTACGTAATACTACGACTACATATATGTATGTATATATATTTACCGTGTATACTGAACTCTATAGGCGATGAGCTCGTACATGATATGTGTGTGTATATATATATATGTGTGTGTGTGTGTGTGCAATCTACAAAAGCACAATACTTCAGCACATACCCAGAACAAGCTAGGAAGGCCGGCCTCAACAGAACCACTTGCTTGCCCCGGGCTGCCAAACAGCTTTGCCTTCTTTTGGAAAGGGGACTTGATTGGTGTGCTCGCAGCTGACCTGTTCGGAGTAGCCTGGTTGGGCCTGATTTTTGCTGGCGAAAGGTGGCTCGCACCGTAGGACTTGTCCAGGAAGTCCCCCACCACATCACCACTCTTTCTCATAAACTGCGAAATCGGCATCTGCGGCTGCTTGGGAATCGATGCCTCGTCCTTTGGCTCCACCTCCTTCGCGGCCGCCTTTTTTGGGATCTCCTTCGGCTCCTTTGGCTTCGTTTCCTTTTTCACCGGTGCTGCCTTCTTAGCAGCCGTCTTGGCACGTGCCTTGGGCTCGCCAGAGCCCCCAGTGTCTGCGGGGACACCTCGGCTCACACAATATGCCGGCCTCTTGATTTGTTACTGTGTGCGGTGCCCTGTATTTTATGTTGTTATAAAAAAACAACTACCTGGAGTAGTATTATACCGGATATACATCTAGGTGTTTTAATAATTAGCTGTGTCGTCTAGTATATACCTTTACACATGTGTAGTATTATTACCAAGTATGTGTGAGCCGCATGTATACATATATGTGCATATGCATCGTGTATGTGTGTGTGTGTTTTATAATGCTCGTGCATGCTACAATAGGACATATACATGCGTGCAATACAATGTCTTTGAAGCATACTGATTGTCATTGACGAGTCGCCGAGGCCCTGCATAGTCCTCTCCACTTCAGCAGCCACCTTCTTCGCCCCCTGATCAAGGGCCATATACTAGAATTACATCACACGGATAACACAACTCACACAGAGCATAGAAAGAGCCTTCGGGGGCATAGCTGACGAGGGGCCCAAGCAAGCTAGCTCGCACTGCCCAAAAGCAAAAGAATCACTGCAACGGCCAGGCTCATCAGTTGCAATGCATCACTGACAGCGATAGTTCAGGGATTGGCTCTGGTTCCTACATATGCACAGAGCCATTGGGGGCTGCACTACACTAGCGACACTTTCGGCCCTCGGATACTGCTAATGTAGCACATAAAGGGTTAGTCGGGGTTATTTGGGGTTACGTGTGAGCTCTGGGATACTTTGGGGGGTTATTCGGGTTTATTGGGGGTTAGTGGGTTTTTTGTGTGGTGTGGCTACCATAATCAGGAGGGTTAGTGGGGGTTATTTGGGGTTATGTGTTAGCTCTGGGACACTTTGGGGGGTTATTCGGGGTTAGTGGGGGTTAGTGGGATTTTGTGTGTGTTTTGGTGACACTAATCTAGAGGGTTATTCGGGGATATTTGGGGTTATATGTTAGCTCTGGGACACTTTGGGGGGTTATTCGGGGTTAGTGGGGGTTAGTGGGATTTTGTGTGTGTTTTGGTGACACTAATCTAGAGGGTTATTCGGGGATATTTGGGGTTATATGTTAGCTCTGGGACACTTTGGGGGGTTATTCGGGGTTAGTGGGGGTTAGTGGGATTTTGTGTGTGTTTTGGTGACACTAATCTAGAGGGTTATTCGGGGATATTTGGGGTTATATGTTAGCTCTGGGCTACTTTGGAGGGTTATTGGGGGTGAGTGGGGGTTAGTTGGGTAAGCTCCCAAGCTGTGATTTTACTATACACGGAATCCTTGCTATGTTAAGACTAGCTGCCATGATCTGCTGCTGCTGCTGCTTTGCTTCTACCTAGCATTTAATTATTCGGTTCAGGACTCGTGGCTGGGGCATGCAGGGTCGGAAAGCTTCTGGGCTGGTATCAGATCACAACGATTGTTCGTTTGGAGAACCTCGCGGATGAACTGCTCTCTAGGTCTTCTGAATTGGCAACCTCGATCTAGGTCTTCCGAATTGGCAACCTCGCTGTTGAACAGCTCTCTAGGACTTCTGAATTGGCAGCCAGGCATGAATTTGACTGAGACATCAGTCATCGGCGATCGGCACAGGGAGGGTCTTGGCTCGAACCTCCGGGTTTTAGCTTAGTCATTACAAAGCAACGTAGAGCTAATTGGGTTGTGGGTGTTATCAAAGCAGCATGGTTTATTATATGGGATAGTCAGGGGGCTCAAATACCTCCTGGTCAACTCAACACCTACCCAGCCTTATCTTTCATTATCATACGAAAGCTGTCGGGGATAATGAGGGCCAGTGCCAACCAAATGCGACAGGAGTGTGCAGAACTACGGTTGGGGGGCTCGAGGTGGCTATACATGTCTTGTGGTGCTGTAATCTACAAAACCCCAAATTGCAGCACTACATCAGCTGGGGGCTTTGGGTGTGAGAGTATGTGTTGCGGCCTGTTGACAACCTGTCGCTCTGCAGGCGCTTTGGTTGCATATAACATAGGCTAGTCTGGCCATGTATGGAGCACTAGCACGCATGCATCTGCGATTGGGGATTGCTGAGGGTACACCTAGTTCAGCTTGGTGGGGGGGGGACTGGTCATGATATGCCTGAAACACCTATCCCCGGCATTAGAAAGCACAAATGCTGCACCTGTACTGGTTCGACTGATTAGTGGATCGGTTCTGGGGACACTATTCGTTGTGCTCCGACCATATAGTTCCCTAAGCCCTCTAGCCAGAACCCTGAGCTATTCTCCTGCAGATAGGATTAACATCTGCTAATACGTATGTAAAACCCAAACATATGCTACAGCTCGATTCGTGAACTGAAGTATTATCACCGATCCATTGTGCACAGGTCAACTACAATCACACATCCAATAGAAAAGTTTACTGAATCTTTTCTTTATGCATTATTGGATAGTCGGATTACTAAACTCTGGATTACATATGTAGTTAGCCTATGGTGACATCAATCGCGTAGGCTGAACACCAAACTCTCATTTCATGTAGGACACCCACAATAACGTAGCAGTAAAGCTTTCTTTCAGACCCAACCACATGGATCAATAACTCATAAGCACGAGCTTCCGAAGCTTTTGTTGCTAGTACCCGCCACTCGCGACCAAGCCAGCCCTGAATCCAAACCCGCACGGCGAAATGTAAGGCTATCTGCATTATTACTTTTGGAACTCAAACACCAATCCCGCCGTAGCTGTAGCCTCCTTCGTTTAGACTCCATGTCATCATGAAAAGCTGGTATCAATTCAACGTCCCCCAAACCCTGACCCCTTTCGAATAAATGGCCTCGATCTCAGGATGCCTCAGCAGCGGGTGGCACGGCGGCTGTGCTGGACACTGCCACCTTGGGACTAATCTTGTATTGGATGCTGTACTTAAAGGATCATGGGACTTAGTAAGTAGGGTTATAAGTACCTTATGAATTGGGGTTATAAGTAATTATAACTGTAGTTAATTTACTTATAACCCTACTTACTAAGTCCCATGATCCTCTAAGTAAGTGTTAAGATCTACAGTAGTTTGGAAGTTCTTATGAGGGGTTTCGGATATGGGAATTCGGGCGATTGTACACATCACGGCTCGAAAGGTATTCCACCTGCATTGCTTGGTAGGGGTGCATAAGGCCTAGCACGACCTAGAGCGGGGGTTTAATGTTTTTTCGTAGAATCGATCTATCTAGAATATCTCTCGCTCTCTCTCTATATCGATCTCTATCTGTCTCCATATAGATATTATATTATATAT